TTGTAACGGAGATTAGTATTATTGTTGACAAGCAGGTCACCTTGGACACTAAGTTGTGCCTCTTACCCAGTTTTGACAGTGCCAATGCTGACTTTCCTTCTCAATAATTAATTCTGTACCTGTTGTTTGCCGCTTGCCTAGTGATCTCTCAAGGGTGCGAGGACACATCTTGTTAGTCTATGGATCTATGGTTTCAAAAAAGTCATGTTCATTGCCATTTCTGAAAAAATCCTGACGAATAAAACATGTGCCAGCAGGGGGGATGGCAGACCCCCTCCGACTTTGCTTTTGCTTGGGGGCCCGTTTATGATTTATATAACCAATCTCACTGAATTTGAGTTTATTTGGCAACATTCATTATTATTTGGTATGTTTGGTGCAAATGTGAACCTTGTATTTCACCACAGAATATATTTTACACCACTTATTCATTTTCAAGCTTTGTACAAATATTATTAAATTATGATATTGTAATTTTATTCTCCCTGCTTTTATGACTTCATTATTATCTTTAGCTTGGTTTTTTGTTTGTTTGTTTGAATAAAAATTAGAAAAAGAGGGGAGGGGATAGAGATGCTGCACCCAGGAAGCTGGTGACACATAAACAACACCACAAGTTGGGAAGCATAGCTCTGTGAAGGGTAAACTATAGTTCCCAGGATTCTTTGCGGGGATGCAATGTACAGTGGAACCTCAGGTTACAACACCTCAGGTTACAAACACTTCGGGTTACAGACTCTGCTAACCCAGAAGTAGTACCTTGGGTGAAGAACTTTTACCTCAGGATGAGAACAGAAATCGTGCGCTGGCGGCGCAACAGCAGCAGGAGGCCCCATTAGCTAAAGTGATACCTCAGATTAAGAATGGTTTCAGGTTAAGAACGGACCTCCAGAATGAATTAAGTTTGTAACGAGAGGTACCACTGTACTTTAAATGTTTGGCGTATATGCAGCCCTATATGATCTTCTGGCACTGGGTCTTCTGGAAAGAAGTTGTGGACCTCTCTTCCCAATAATATCCTTTACACACAATCAAACTTGTCAGACAAGCAATAGGAAGTGTTTCTTCATACAGCATATAATTAATTAGCTGATGGATTTTATTGACACAACATACGAAGGCCACAAACTAACACGCCTTTTAGAAAAAGGAGGATTAGACAAAATCATGGAAGACAGTGGCTTCTTCTGTTTTTCAAGAGGACATTCCCAATTTGGTTTGTGTTTCTGCGCAGCCTGGGCAGGCTTGTATTTTCACACTCTACTCCTATGCCTCCCGGGAAAGCTGAAAATGGAACATCCAACTTTAGGAGACCATTTCTCTGATCAAAAGGCATCAGGAATGAACAGGAATGGCCATCTCAGTCTTGCCTTCCTCGTGAGCTCCCTCGAGGAGTATCTGGCTATTAGCCACACCATTGGAAGCAAGAGTGCTTGACTCACTAGACGGACCTTTGATACCAGTCCACAAGGCTGTTTTGATGGCCTCATGTTCTTTGTTTGCCTTTATGGTATGAACCAAGTGCATAGCTGGCATAAATTGAGAGCATTTAACTCAAATGATCCCGCAAGGTCACACAGCACAACACACAAGGAGCTGGTTTCTTTTGCAATCTCAGAAGGGATTATGAGGAAGTAAGCCCCAACTGATTCGAAAGGCACTTGCTTCCCCACTGGGGTCTCGCATATTCAAGACAGCTAAATGCAGGCCCTTCCTTAGGAGCTCGGGTGCCAAATATGACTCTGAAGGTTTTCGTGCAATGTGCACTACTGTATTGGTACGTGTTTTGTTTCGAACACCCCTTCGGCCATTTTCATTTAAAGAACGAAACACGAGAAAGCAAAATGTATTGCTGTCTGGAGAAGAGATCCCTGAAACCTGGAAGATTACTGCTTTACTCTGTTCTACACACATGGGATAAAAAAAATATATAGAACATATCATTTCAAACTCTTCTGGGTCCTATCGAACTATCTGAAAAGTAATAGAAAAGAAAGCTTTCTGCTTCTTTTTTTAAGAGCAGAATGGGATGGGGGAGGAATAGAACTAGCAGAACAGCTCTCTATAATGTAGTTTGTAGAATGTAGCGTAAAGCTACATTAGGAGGGACCTAAAGATGCAGCTTGAGTGCCACTTAGCATGTGGAAAGGAATGCCATCAACGGAGCAGAACTCGCATCCAGAGCTCGCGTGGAAAAACCTCACGGGCCCAAACAATAGGGTTTGGGTGTTGGCCGCAGACAACGGGAGGCCCTGAATTCCCAACATGCACCTAAGAATGGGCAAAAAAACCCCATTCACACATCAACCCTGGAGCTGGCCCAGTGATTCCCAACCCAATGAATGTCAATACGAGGGAGAGGTTAAAACAGGCATAGGCAAACTCCGGCCCTCCAGATGTTTGGGACTACAATTCCCATCATCCCTCACCACTGGTCCTGTTAGCTAGGGGTGATGGGAATTGTAGTCCCAAACATCTGGAGGGCCGGAGTTTGCCTATGTCTGGGTTAAAAGCAAAAAAAGGGAAGAAGGGAAAAGGGAGAAAATCCTCTCCAAACTCATCTCCCACCTTGGACAGAGCAAGCTGGCATGCCTGATAGAAGTACTGATTCTTCAAGCACTGGATCTGTCCCCTCTGCTCCCCCCCCCCCAAAAAGAAAGCCCCTCCACCTCAGGATTCTTCAGAAAGTGGTTAGGAATGCAAGGTGCCTTTGGTTCAGATCTCCAGACAGAATTTGGTAGGCAGGCTCCTGTTCTTCCTGCCTCCCATCTGCCACATAGGTACAAAACTGACTTTACAGGGCTGCTGCGAGGGATCACGGAGATAATGGCTTTGAAGCACTTTGAACGCTCCAAAGCACTGCCTAAGTCCTAAGCTTTATCATTATTAAGATATGCAGCGAAAGAAAAAACAATGAAGAGTGCGCAGGGCTGAAAGGGAAACGCAGCACGATTAGAACTTGGACTTCTCAAGGGACCAGGATGTGTTATATAGTTGACAACCAAGTTGAGCAAAGTTCCAAGGCTGGCAGAGAAATAATAATAATTTTTTTAAAGGCACAGGCATGTCCACACACTATGCATGGCTTTTCTTTTTCCTCCCGACTTTGAAGTCCTGCCAGCTGATAACTCATCTCAATGGATGGCTGCTCCCCTTCTTAAGGGTTTACCTTTTCCTCGATGACAGCTAAGCACCCAACCAGAGTCTGGTTTCTTTCATTTCTTTAAAACAGAAAAGCAGCCAACTGGTACCAGCCTCAGGCTCGCACCCTACCGCGGAGCACCTCAAGAAAACAAAGCACCACCCAGGCACCAAGGAAGCTATTCTTCACACCCTTTGCAAAAGCCACCTTGCGCGCTCTTTGTAGACCTGCACAATGCCACCCATCGGGCGCTAGATGCACACAAAAATTACTCCCCAACTGGCCACCAAGGTCCCAAAGCAGCAGCAGCAGCAGCAGCAACACCACCGCAAGACTGGATCTCCCAAGCTATGGAGACTTGGGCACAAAAATGCAAGAGCCACGGCTCCAATTTCACACCCACAAGACTGCTCAGACTTTGCAAAAACACAGACCGAGTTGGAAACGTCCTCTTGAAAGCTAAGCCACGGTCTTGTTTTTCCACCCACGGGTCGACCAACCGCTGGCAGCTTGGCAAGGCGGATGCCGCTAGCTCTGCCGTCTTTTATTTGGACACTGAGATTCCCTGCAAAGGACAGGGACTGCCATCGTGCAGTCGAGGGAGGTGGCACGACCCAAGGCATTTCTTCCGACAGTTATCTTGAAATGGTGAGTGGTTGGGTTTGCTGCCACCCCCCACCCCCGCCACCCACTAATAATATAAAGCGAACTGCAAAGCTGACTTCTGAAGGCACCAGAAGCGCCAACCACACCCACACGTGGCACACAGCACATATCAGCCTTTTCTTCCAAGCTCCGGAAAGAGAGAAAGATCCACACGGCTCCCAGATTTTTTAAAAAAATGAATGTGCAGCAACCCGTCCAAAGACTTCTTCCCCCCTCTAAAAAAAGAAAAAAAGCAACCCTTAAATGGGAGGTGCTGCAAAAGCATTTAGTGATGAGAAAGTCAGGAAGAACCATCAGCCCCCTAAACCCTGGGATGCCTCTTTGACCAGAGCATGGGGTGTCCGTCCCCCCCCACATTTACACATGAAACGTTTCTTCCAGAAAGTAAGTCAAAGTAGGAGAGACGGAAATAGAAAATGGGTGGGGGGATAGGGGTGCGTTTGCAGAAGAACGTGGGGCTTTATAGGATCAGAGGGAAACCTCTTCCCTTCCACCCTTGTCGCAGGCGGTGGCGTGGGGGGGGGGGGAGCGGACAGCCCCAGTGACAGCTGGCCAGAGCTACTGGAAGCAACAGTTGGTTTTATTAAGCAGCCTCATGGAGAGAAGGATGGGGGTGTGTGGAACTGGAATTGAAGAATTCACACACACACACACACACCCCTCAAAACGGCACCCCGAAATATCAGGCCCGCAGCTTTGCTCACCAAACTAAGGCAGCAATTCCGGATTTAGCAACTTGCGCCAGGAGGGTGCCCCTTAAAAATTACTTTGGGGAGCGCATCCGATTTCAGCGCAACGGCTGCAGTTCAGAGGGGTGACGCGAGGATGAGAGATGTCACTGGCGAGGGAGGGGGTGCCAGGGGACGGGGAAAGAGAGAAAGACGGGCGATCCTCTCCGAATCAAAACACAACTTTGGGAAAGGAGGAGGAGGGAGGAGGAGGAAAGCGGCTGGGGTTTTGCAGTGTAATCCTAGACTTCGATCGGAATCTAGCAGGAACCAAACAAGCCCAAAAAGAAAGAAAGAAAGAAAGAAAAGAGAGACACGGACAGACTCCCTGCCCCCTCTCGCAACTTAACGCGCATAAAAGAAAACGCAAGCAAGCCTCCTTTTTACGCCCACCGTCTCCCAAACACACCCCGAGCAAAGTTTGCCAAAGAAAGGGAGGCGGGTATTCACGCTGGATCTCTTACCTGGAAGCAGGTCTCCTTTTTTCCCCTCCCCTCGGTCGTCTTCTCGGCTTCTAGGACGCGCACGAAACTCTCCACCGACCCCCCCTCTTTTGCGCGCGATAGACACAGAAGCGAAGCCTTCCTTCCCGCGAAGACCAGGAAAGACAGGCAACCCTGCGCGTCCAGCTTTGCAAAGTCGCACCGAACTGCTTGCTCGAGCTGCTTGCTAGCCCTGCTCGTGCGGGGACTGGGACGGAGCAGCGGGGGGAGGAGGAAGGGGAGGAGGCAATGGAACGTTGTGCTGGCCAGGGCGCGCGCCCCGGCGCTCAGCAGCCATTAAAGCCAGTCATGTGCTTGGGTGAAACTTTACACTGGAGCGCGGGGCTGAGGGATGGGGCGGGGCGGGGAGGGGGATAGGAGACCGAGGGGGGAGGAGACCGAGGGGGCCCGGGCCACGCCTATTTCCATTTTCCCAGCCAATGGCGCTGCGGCGGGAGACGGGAGGGAGGAGAATGCGGGGTGGGGGGCGGGGTAGGGTGGAAGAGCTGCCCTTGGCGGTTCAGGAGAAGTAACCCTTTGAAGTGTCTCCGGCTTTGTGGGGAGACGGGGAGGGAGGGGGGAGCGGAACTTTCAGCCGAGACTGGCGGCGCTTACTCGGAAGCAACACTCGCGGGCTTCCGCGGAACTGGCTTCCGAAGGCTGCAATGCATGCCCACAGCTGGGGCGCACGGTGCAAGCCTTGCCCGCGTTTGTTCAGAAGTCAGCCCCGCAGCGGGGCTAATTCATGTAACGTGGGTGGGTGGGGATTTGCAGAATCGCTGCCCTGATTCGCGAGGAGATATGGATAGGATCTCTCGAGGATCGCCGCAGCGCAGCCCTGTGCACTGCGCCTTTAACTCCCAGGGAAAGCGCGCAGAAGGAAGGAGTTGCAACTTCTGGAAAGGGAGCGCAACATTTCTAAAGAGCGGGGTGCCGGGGAAGGTGGCGGGCAGCTGTTAAGAGGCTGAGCTGTGAGCCAGATAACTGCCCCATTCACATCTCCTGCCTCTGTCCCAGCCTTTCTGTCCCAACATGGGGTGTGGGGTGGGAATAACAGCAGCCCTGGCTTACTTTGCAGGATGAATGAGACCGTTTTTGGAAGATAAACGTGCTGTTATTATCACCAGCATGGAGGCTGCGTATGAGACACCCTCTGACCTGGGCTGTCTCCCTTAACCCAAGCTGTGATTGAACGATGGGGCGGCAAGAGTGATGGATTTGAATGTGGAAGGACTACGACCGAGTCCCATCTTTGCTATGGACTCCCTGTGTAGGCTGGAGGAAATCCCTCTTTCAGCATCCATTTCCCCTCCCTGTAAAACAAGGAACAACTTTTCCACCCAGGAATGTTTTGAATAATTAAATTCACGTTGCTCTATTGTATGGGTAGGCAAACTAAGGCCCGGGGCCGGATCCGGACCAATCGCCTTTTAAATCCGGCCCGCGGATGGTCCAGGAATCAGCATGTTTTTACATGAGTAGAATGTGTCCTTTTATTTAAAATGCATCTCTGGGTTATTTGTGGGGCATAAGAATTCGTTCATCCCCCCCCAATATAGTTCAGCCCCCCACAAGGTCTGAGGGACAGTGGACCGGCCCCCTGCTGAAAACGTTTGGTGACCCCTGCTCTATTACGTTAAACAAGCTATAAAAGTGAGAAATAGCCACCATGGTATATGCCCTCTGGCAAAGGTGGCTAACCTGTGCCCTTCCAGATGTTGCTGGACTCCAAACTCCCCCCAGCTCCAGCCATCCTTAGCGCCTGGAGGTACAGCAGGTAAGTCACCTGTGCGGCACTGGTAATGAGGAAGTGCACATGCTCTCTGCACTTTTTGCGCTGCTTCTGCATGTTCTGATACTGACAGCAAAATCCTATACATGCCTACATGAAAAGGAAGCCCCATGGAGCTCAACTGGTCTTATTCCATGAGGACAGGACTTCAGCCTGAGGGTGGCTTTTCTTTAAAAAGGAAAATTGTAAGGTTCCACAGCAGAGCCTTGCTTTGGATTAGGCTGCAAAGGGAACCATAGAGTTGGAAGGGATTCCAAAGGTCATCTAGTCTAACCCAGGGATCTTTTGTCCAACATGGGACTCGAACACACAACCCTGAGATTAAAGAGTCTCAGGCTCTACCAACTGAGCTATATGCAATCCTGGAAAGCGAGGTACCTGTGAATGGCATGTGTATGAGCTGTTTGGGGAGAAGCACAGATAATGCATTTGTAGAAGAAGAAGAAGAAGAAGAAAATCAAATTGCCAAACAAAAGAGTGGTTAGGGTGTTGGGCTGGGGCCTGGGAGACCAGGGTTCAAATCCCCCACTCAGCCATGAAGCTTCCTGGGTGACCTTGGGGCAGTCACAATCTCTCAGCCCAACCTACCTTGAAGGATAAAAAGGAGTGACTGTGTATGCCACCTTGAATTCCTTTGGAGGAAAGGTGGGGCATAATAATAATAATAATGGCATGGAAAAAATCAAATCCAGCAGTAAAAATAACCAAAACATTACTCCAACAAAGTGCACACAAGCTTTAAATAAAAGATCCAACTATATTGGTTATTTTGTCCAAGGTAGTAATTGAAGGGAAGGCTGAACTTTGAAATGAGTTTCTGTTAAAGGAACAATGAATCTAAAAGCCCAGCTCTACTAAAGCCATATGTCTGCAGAGCAGGTACTGTTCTCTATCCCCGGTTCACTGGGAAACAGCTGTAGGCTCGCAATCGTGCAGGGACATCAAAATGAATTCAATTAAGTCCAGTTGAGGTCATGGTGCCCAGGCTTAAAATCCACGTGGCGTCTTTTTCTCAGAGAACTCCAACAGTTTATTTTAAGCATTCATTTCTCTGCAGCCGAAGAAGTTAAGGCTCTTACACTAGAGATGGCAGACTTCAGTCTTAGGTGGTCCACATGCTTTGTTTCTTTAAAAATAAAATCCCCAAGATTGGTTTTTAATTTACAAAGCAAGAGTGCATACTCAGAATCTCTTCACACTTTAAGACATAATTAATTTGTGTTAACACGATCCTGAATTATGCACACATTTAAGAAAAAGTGTCTTGCAGACGAAAATCCACTCAGCCCAGCGTAGTGTGGGGTTTTTTGACAGAATCCCAAACAACCAGCAAGTCCCTAGGTATCTACCAGAAACGTGTCAGAGATGCCCATCTCTGCTTACCCAAAATTCCTAACCTGTATGTCAAGGGATGCTGCTGTGCCGTGAGGAGCTGCCAGTATGCCACAAGTTGATTAATCAATTAATTGCAAGCTTCTGTGAACTGAAACATTCATCCCAGAGTTGTGGGTTCCAGTCTCACATTGGACAAAAGATTCCTGCATTGGACCAAATGGCCCTCGTAGTCCCTTCCAACTCTACATTTCTATGATTCCATGATACACGGAGGATGCTGCTTGCTGCATCCGCATCATTTATTGCTCTAGTGTTGACTCCATCCAATCAGCTTCCACTTGAGAGCAAGAAATTCTGCCACATCTCTCTGCACTATATTGATCAGTTTGGTCATTTGCAAAGAGTAGACAGAGCCAGACTCCCTGAGCTCACAGAACGCTGCCCATTGGACATCTGTATCAAGTCGTTGATATGGCCAAAAAGGGGTCCTCACCACTCCTCTAAAAACGAAATTTTATCAGATATAGGAGAGAACCGTACCTAGCTCTCAAAGTTGTGGAAATGCTTGCATTATTGAGATTGCCAGGTCACCTGATGCTCAGACTCTCATGGGACAGAGCCTGGGAGCAAAGCAGTTGAAGAAGAAGAGTTTGGATTTGATATCCCACTTTATCACTACCCAAAGGAGTCTCAAAGCGGCTAACATTCTCCTTTCCCTTCCTCCCCCACAACAAACACTCTGTGAGGTGAGTGGGGCTGAGAGACTTCAGAGAAGTGTGACTGGCCCAAGGTCACCCAGCAGCTGCATGTGGATGAGCGGGGAAGCGAACCCAGTTCACCAGATTACGAGTCCACCGCTCTGAACCACTACACTACACTGGCTCTCTAGTCACAGTGTCACAGAACAGAGGCTTATGGGGACAGAGGATGATCAGCGCTGGATTCCGGGCGGTTCCCCCCATACAGGATTCAGCCCCTGAGGGAGTCTGAGGATCCCTACCACTGGGGTAGTCTTGCTTTGCCTAATGACCCAGTGTTGGGCCTGATAAACACGGGAGCAGAATGAACAGCAGAATCTCTTGAACCAGGCAGAAAATAAGACTTGCTCTCAAAGGTAGTCTCTTTTTTTCTCCTCCAGCACAATGTTCCAGGAATGAGCACTGATGCAACTAAGCTCGAAATTATATCCTCATTTTAAAAAAAAAGTTTAGATACCAACCTTTTGGGGCCTAAAGGTAACCTAATTAGGATCCCGCAAAATGGGAATAATCCCAGGATCAGAACCAAAAGCATTGTTTTTCCTTTTTTTAAAAAAAGAACTGTATGTATGGGAAATCAATTTTGTTGGGTCTTTAGCTCTGAAGCTATCCCAAAGCCAAGACTTAGCTTGCACTAAGGGGTGGGTCTGGCTGTCCTTGCCAGAAGCAGAAGAAAACTGTCTGCACAAGGAGCAACTCCCCCTCCCAATCAAAACTCCAGTTACACACACACACACACACACACACACACACACACACACACACTATGGCAAAGGCTGCATTTTCCTTTGCCAAGCTCCTTGCTGTCCATTTATATTAATTGCCAGAAAGGGACCGGAAACGGATCTGAGGGGGAGGAGAAGCAGGAGGGGGAAATCTCTTCCCCCCCCCTTCAGTCCAGGCCTGATTTATGGCCTGGAGTCCCAGGCGGGAGTTTCTGGGCGTCAAGATGGGGAGGGTGGGGAGAGAGAGAGAGAGAGAGAGAGAGAGAGAGGGAGAGGGGAAACAGAGATGAGATGGTCTGAAATGGACATCTTGCATCTTGATGAGGAACAGCAATGCTTTTCCAGGATTGGGGAGGGGAGTGTTTTGCTAGATCCATTTGGCTCCTGTGGCCAGCAAACCGGAGTGGGTCTGCCTGCATTACAGGGATGGGGTCTGGGAGCTAGGATTCCTAGTTTTATTTCCCCCTGCTCCCCCTCCCCAGTTCTGGGAAGGAATTCAGGTCTAGCGTAATGGTTTTTCGGAGCACACAACAGGAGTCGCTAGGGAGGCACAGATCTTTGCCAGGAAAGGCGCAAGACCCTTGCCAAGGTGTGTCTTGATCCAACTAGGAGGCAGCGACAACCCATATATCCCTATGTGTTCAAGGCAAGACAGATGGGGTGGGGGGCTGGGCCCTCCAACCTCTGTGCTACGTGTTAG